ACATAAAAGATGACCGTTTGTCTAGAAAATACCTAAGATATCCAGAAAATAGAGCTACTAGGCCAGGCATGTAGCTCATGCCTATAATTCTGGCACTTTGGGAAACTGAGGTGGGAAGATCATTTGAGCACAGGAGTTTAAGACAAGCCAGGGCAACATAGCGACACCCTGCCTATACAAAAAATAAAATTGTGGCCAGAAATGGTGGCTCACGCCTGTAATATCCCAACACTTTGGGAGGCCAAGGTTGATCAGTTGATGTCAGGAGTTCAAGACCAGCCTGGCCAACATGGCGAACCTCAACTCTACTGAAAATATAAAAATTATCTGTAATCCCAGCAACTTGGGAGGCTGAGGCACAAAAATCACTTGAGCCTGGGAGGCAGAGGCTGCAAGGAACGGAGATTGCACCATTGCACTCCACCCTGGGCCGCAGAGCAAAACTATGTCTCAAAAAATATATAAATAAATAAAATAAAATTGCTGAGTGTAGTGGCTCACAGCTGTCCCAGTTACTTGGGAAGTTGTGGTGGGAGAATCATTTGAGAATCAAGAGCAAAATCAGAAGGCTAACACAGGGTTTCAAGACACATTATAAAGTTACAGTAATCATGACACTACCATAGACTTTATAAATACTGTACATTAGGCTACCCTAATTTTTTTTTTTTTTTTGAGATGGGGTATCACTCGTGTTGCCCAGGCTGAAGTGCAATGGTGTGATCTCGGCTCACCATAACCTCCGCCTCCCAGGTTGAAGTGATTCTCCTGCCTCAGGCTCCCAAGTAGCTGGGATTATGGGTATGCACCACCAAGCCCAGCTAATTTTTTGTATTTTTAGTAGAGATGGGGTTTCTCCATCTTGGTCAGGCTGGTCTTGAACCCCTGACTTCAGGTGATCTGCCTGCCTAGGCCTACCAAAGTGTTGGGATTACAGGCATAAGCCGCCACACCTGGCCAGGCTACCTTAAATGTATACATTTTCTTTTCTTCTTAGCTTCCTATAACTTTTTTATTTGATAACTTTTTTTTTTTTTTTTAGACAGAGTCTTGCTCTGCCAGTCACCCAGGCTCAAGCATAATGGCATGATCTTGGCTCACTGCAACATCCATCTCCCAGGTTCAAGCAATTCTCCTGCCTCAGCCTCCCAAGTAGCTGGGGTTACAGGTGCCCACCACCATGCCTGGCTAAATTTTTGCAGAGATGGGGTTTCACCATGTTGGTCAGGCTGGTCTCAAACTCCGGACCTCAGGTCATCCACCCACCTCAGCCACCCAAAATGCTGGGATTACAAGCGTGAGCCACCTTGCCTGGCTAACTTTATAACTTAGAAACATTTAAAACTTTTTGACTCTTTTGTAATAACAATTAATGCACAAACACATTTACAGCTGTACAAAAATATTTTCTTTCTTTATATCCTTATTCAATCAGCTGCTTTCTTTTAATTTTTTTTCTTTTTAAACTTATTTTGTTAAAAACTAAGACACATTCCCCGCCAAACCTGTTTCTGGATGATTGGGGAGTTGTGGGGGAAAAAAAAAAACAAAAAAAACTAAGACACACACATATTAGCCTAGGTTTACACAGAGTCAGGATCATCAAGATGTCACTAGGCAATAGAAATTTTTTAGCTCCATTATAATCTTATGCAACAACCATACAATTAATATATGGAATCTGTTATGCAGTAAGTGGCAATATATAGAAAGAAAGATCCAGTGATGGCCTGCATGGTTTGGTCTTATTCAACATTTTTTTTTTTTTTTTGAGACAGAGTCTCGTTCTGTTACCAGGCTGGTGTGCAGTGGTGCAATCTTGGCTCACTGCAACCTCTGCCTCCTGGGTTCAAGCAATTCTCCTGCCTCAGCCTCCCGAGTAGCTGGGACTACAGGTGCATACCACCATGCCAAGCTAATTTTTGTATTTTAAGTAGAGACGGGGTTTCACTATGTTGGCCAGGATGGTCTCAATTTCTTGACCTCGTGATCCACCCGCCTTAGCCTCCCAAAGTGCTAGGATTACAAGCATAAGCCACCACACCCGGCCTTGTTCAACATTTTTGTAAATGCCTTGTATGAGGACACAAAGGTACATATTTATCAAACCTGCAGTGACACAAAGCTGACAGGGATACTTAATAACGATGGATGACGGAATCAGGATCCAAAAGGTCTTGACAGGCTGCAACTCTGTCGAATCTAACAAGATGAAATTTAACAATGACAAAGGTAAGTCTGACACTTAAGTCCAGAAAATCAATGCAAGGCCCTGACTTGATGACAATTCAGGTAGAAAACAGTGTTTTTCAACTGAAATCATAGCAAGGGTCAAAAACATGGAAGTCAGAAAGAAGAGGGGTCAACTGTACAAATACTATTTCTTTTCAGGTCAACATAAACTTTTAGATAGACTTGCAAAACACAACAGGCCACTTCAGGAGGTAAGTATACATTACTGGAAGTCTTCAAGCCAAGTTTGATAACAACTCTGGATGTTGAAGAGGGAGTACTGGAATCTCATATAAGGTTTAACGGAAGAAATGACCCCAAATAGTGCCTAGATTCCATAATTTATTTACATATATTGGTAGATGTAATTACAACTTATGAGGCAAAAATAATTTCATTCCAATTGATTTAGCAGACTCACTAGTTAAGTCTCTGAAAGATCTACTGAATGAGGAGTTCATATTTAGGCTTTTTTCCTCCTTTTCTTCTATTAGTCCAAAGACTTTTTTTTTTTTTTTTTTAAAGAGTGATGATAGTACTTTCTCACTTCATTACTAACTTAAAAACTATTTTATTTGTTTATTTATTGAGACGGAGTCTTAATCTGCTGCCCAGGCTGGAGTGCAGTGGCGCAATCTCGGCTCACTGCAACTTCTGCCTCCAGGGTTCAAGTGATTCTCCAGCCTCAGCCTCCTGAGTAGCTGGCATGCACCACTACGTCCAGCTAATTTTTTATTTTTAGTGGAGACAGGGTTTTGCCATGTTGGCCAGGCCAGTCTCCAACTCCTAACTTCAAGTGATCCACCTGCCTTGGCCTCCCAAAGTGCTGGGATTACAGGCATTAGCCACCACACCTGGCCTTAAAAACTATTTTAAATTTGTTATTATGGAAGTAATATATGCTCCTTGCAAATAAAATTAAAGCTTTTTGATGAATATAAAATGAAAAGTAAAGGCTCCTCTCTTGCTTTCCTCCCAAATACCTCCCCCAAACTTTCTTGGACTTTGCAAGCTTCTAAAGGCCCTCCTTTGCTGAATCCCTTGTAGACTTACAGTCTGTATACCACAAGAGTTTTTATAATATGCCACATTTGCCTACCAACAAGAACAGAAGCTCCGTAAAGGTAATATTTGTCTTTTACAAATCATATAACTCATGTACCAAATACACATTGTAGAAATAAAACATTTAACTTTTTGATACTTCTGAAACAAGAAATAACAGTATTATTCAGATGTTAAGTCTTATTTTCATTTAATATTTACAGTGGACATTGGTTTTGCCGATCCTGCATTTACCTCCTCTGACCTATCCACCCCGGTCATCATTGGCTATGGTCATCCATTCAATTGTACTGAAAGGTGAATAAGATCTCTAAATCAATCAGAGCTTCACAATCCCACAGGCATCGTTTAGGGTTGGTCACGTAATCCAATCTAGACCAAAGAAGTGCAATCAACTTGAAGCTGAGAGAATATAAAGGACCCTGGATACTTGCAGCCCTTTTGGGACCAAAGAAGAGAGCCTATCCAAGTATGGAGCCAACAACCAAAAAGCAGGTGTGAGAGACTGGGAGAAATGGGACTCTAGTGACATCGTTTAGCACTCTCCTTAAGTATTATCATCCCATTTTTGATCTCAGAACTGTATGACTTAATGGTGGGCCACAGTGGCTCATGCCTGTAATTCCAACACTTTGGGAGGCTGAGGTCGGCAGATCACTTGAGGTCAGGAATTGGAGACCAGCCTGACCAACATGGTGAAACCCTGTCTCTACTAAAAATACAAAAATTAGCAGGGCATGGTGGTGGGCGCCTGCAGTCCCAGCTACTCTGGAGGCTAAGTCAGGAGAATCGTTTGAATCAGGGAGGCAGAGGTTGCAATGAGCCAAGATTGTATCACTGCTTTCCAGCCTGGCCAACACAGTGAGACTCTGTATAAAAAAGAAAAAATAATAACTGTCTGACTTCAAAGCCCTCTTCCTTCACCAAGCTTACTACTCTAACTCCCTAAGTCTGTCTGTACATTTGAGGAACTCTTCTTATTAGGCCTGAAAGAGTAGATGGAAAGGAGAAGAGAAAGACAGGGATTATTTGAATTAAAGATATATAAAAAGATAGACAAACACACATGTATATATATACTAGCAGACATTGAGCTACATATAGACATGCAAATAGTGATGTCATGAAATATTTTATAAAAAAGAGGCAGATGTTTGGATGTGCAAAGACTGTTGGGAAAAAAGCTTTGCCAGAAAGGGGTATCTGGGGTGACCCCTCATTATTTGTCAACTGTACATCTCTTCTGCCCCTCTCTCTTGTTCATTAGGCGTAATAGCCACCTTTCAGTTCTTTAAAAAGTAAGTTTCAGCCTCAAAGCAATTATGCCACTATCCGGATGCTCGTTCTCCAAATCTTCTCATGACTGTTCCTTTCTCACTCTTTCAATCTCTGTTTAAATTGGCGGAGGGGCATAAACCATTGAGTGACCAACTGTGGGCGTTCCCTTCAGGGAAACCGAATGGGACAATTGTCTTCAAACTCCGCTATGTCCCGTGCCGCGGGCTTTACGCGGCTGTCTTCCCCGAAATCACTAACCTACGGTCACCAGACTTACCGCCCGGGCCCGAGTCCCTCGGGACTCGGCAGCGTACTTGAGAAACGGACATCGTCCGCCGGTCCCAATAGAGGTCCGAAATCAGCCCGCTGACTCGCGTTTCCCCGTTCCCAGCCCGCCCGTAGGCCTGAACTGGATCCTTACTTACGCTTGTCTCCGGGCTATGAGCCGATGCATGGGAGTCGCCATTTTAGCGTGGTCAAAGACTGCCGCGCAGGGTTTTGGGAACTCCTCGGAAGGGCGGGGCTTCCAACCTGGAGGCCATAGACATGGGCGGAGCCAGACAGGCCTCTAGGGGTTCTGGGCAGCCTCCGCGGCAGGATCTTAGTGCTGCCTGGTGGGTCCGACGGTCGGCAGGTCGGGAGGTCGGGAGGGGAGGGGCTGGTGGGTCAGCAGGGAGGGGGCCTTGGTGGGTCAGGAGGGGCCCATGGAGACCAGTGTGGGTCTCGGATTGTCGGTCCGAACAGGGTTTCGGAGGATGATAACAGCAAGAACGTTATCTGTGAAAAATGAGGACAACATTCTCCAACGAGGGATACACATACAAAGACGAATGAAACTGCAGTGTTCAGAAAACTAGAGGTAGTCTGGAGAATAGAAAGGAATTAGTTGACCAGGATTGAGAACAAAGAATGACTTTAGCAAGCCATAGAGCGCAAACATACATTAATTCTGTTTTTTATGTATTTCACAGGGTTTTTTTTTTTTTTTTTGAGACGGAGTTTTGCTCTTGTTACCCAG